GTAGGGAAACAGTCTTTGCAGTAGGGGCAGTTACTGATACGTCAGTTCTTATAATGTAACAGCTGCCTTGGTTTCTTCCTCAACAAAATTAGTTTAATAATACAGTTAAACTAGACTAGATTTCCTTACAGCATGTGGACCCTGTAACAGTGTGCTGGTTTTGGCTGGGATAGAGTTAATTTTCTTCACAGTAGCAAGTATGGGGCTGTGTTTTGGATTTGTGCTGGAAACAGTGTTGATAACACAGGGATGTTTTTGTTACTGCTGAGCAGTGCTGACACAGAGTCAAGGCCTTCTCTGCCTCTCACCCCACCCCACCAGCCAGCAGGCTGGGGGGGCACAAGAAGCTGGGAGGGGACACAGCCGGGACAGCTGACCCCAACTGACCAAAGGGATCTCCCACACCATATGGTGTCATGCTCAGCATATAAAGCCGGGGGAAGAAGAAGGAAAGGGGGGACATTCGGAGTGATGGCGCTTGTCTTCCCAAGTCACCGTTACACGTGATGGAGCCCTGCTTTCCTGGAGATGGCTGAACACCTGCCTGCCGAGGGGAAGCAGTGAATGAATTCCTTGTTTTGCTTTGCTTGTGTGCGCGGCTTTTGCTTTCCCTATTAAACTGTCTTTATCTCAACCCGCGAGTTTTCTCACTTTTACTCTTCCAATTCTCTCCCCCATCCCACCGGTGGGGAGCGAGCGAGTGACTGTGTGGTGCTTAGTTGCCGGCTGGGGTTAAACCACAACAAACAGTCACTAGCCAGCTGCTTTCACACTTCTCCCCACTCTTTATGGGCCTGCTTCATTTTTACTGAGTTACATGTTTATACTCCTGCTCCTAATCCCAGAATGCCTTATTCTTTGGCTGCCATTACATTTTTCCTGGTGGATTTACAGTTCTTCACAATTTTTCTTTTTGATTTTAAGTTATCAGAAGGAAACAGCTAGGGCTGGAATACCTGGCAAGAGCCAGTTCAGAGGCCAAGTGAAATAGGACCCAAATGAGGTACACAGAAATTCTAACTTAATTGATATGGTAGGTGTATACCTAAATGGATCTGCTTTGCTTCTGAGCAACAGCGCAGTGGTCCTTCAAAGAGGTTTTGTGACCAGTTGCTTTGGTACTTACAGTAGATATTACAATAAATATATTCAGAAATCTGAGATAACTTTAGCATCACTGCAGCTGAGACCTAGTGAGTGACAACTTCTGATGAATGTTCTCATTTTCAAATTCATTGGTGCTGTAGGAATAGAATGTGAACCACAGTGCATCACGTTTATCATTCTACCCATTCCTGGTATTGAAGGTTTTTGTCAGTGCCCACCTGTAGCAAGTCTAGCATCATTTTATTTCTACTGTCTGCAATTTGTCTACCAGTTTAGCTCAGAGCTAAAGAGCATGAGAAGAGCACAAAGCCAAAACCTGTAACACAAAGTCCAGAGCTTAGCTAATTATCCTGGAGTACCCTAACCCTGTGAGTTCTCATCCACCATCATCTTTTCTCTACTGAACAGGAGGGAATCCAGGCCTTCGTGTCCCTGGGGTTCAAGCCCAGAAGTCTCACATTTAGCCACAGACAGCAGTTCTTTTCTGTTGCTCGTTGTTTCTCTAAGTTGGTTCCTTCATTCCTTCCTTGCAAGCAGGTCAGGCTTTCTCAGTGCACTGTTTCTTCCTGGCTTTGCCAAGTCTTTCCAGAGCAACCCCACTGGTTGTAGCTACTGCCAGCATTCTGTTTCAGCTAGAGGCTTTTGTCGTTCTAACTGGCTATTTAGTTACTGCTGGGGAAGATAAACAGGTCCTTAATTAAGCTCTTCTGAGCTGCTGCCATTTGGAGTCTTTCTGATGAGGTGACTGTTACAGATTCCTAGAGACTATTTGCTATTATAAGCTGTGCAAACAAATCCAAAGTTAGTTTGAAACAATTAAGCTCCAGCATGTTAACAGGAGGTGATTAACAAAACTGCTAGATCTGCAGTTGGTCACTTTTGACACCATTCAATTTTTCTAGTTCATTCCACAAATTTCTGTTACAAACAACTCATCAACAACTGTGTTGGGTGACAATTTAGAAATGTCTGCCAAATTCACAGATCTGGACACGCACTGCAGATGTCATTCTTACAGATGTTTGGTCAGACCTCTAGTAAAACAGCTTTGGCTACCTGATGTAAAACTTCCTTAACTCAGACCAAGCAATTAAAGTATTTTTTTCTAGAAAAAACGAGTGTTTTTTAAATCTTCATCAGTTTGTTTCAGTATTGATTAAACTATTGGATCTTTCATGTTGGACTGACAGGGAACTCAGGCGTTCAGAAATAGATGTGGGAAACTGAATTCTGTTTTACAGGAAAGTGCGCATACTTCTTGTGCAAAATGCTTTAGGTTGGGTTTTTTTTTCAATACTAGATTAATTTCATCAAAATGAAGACAGTTATAGGTATAATACGTAGTGCATAAATATGTATTTCAACACAAGCTAAAAACACTAAAATGACTGCAAATCAGTGTTTTAACTACTTTCGCAGATGATTATTGAAGACAGAAAGACAGTAAAGATGTTGTAAGTCATGTCCTTCTATAAACTAATTCTGTCCCTCTAATCAAGGAATATAATGGTATAATATCGTATGCAGACGGCATGAATTCAGATTTGTGAGTGGTTTCCATGGCAGCACTTTAGAATAAGTTTCCCAGACAGTTGCAGATTTCATAGAAGAAGGACAAACGGGTATTAGGTATTGAACTAGAACACTGGAGGTGATATAAGTGCTGTTTAACCAAATACAGTCCATTAAATATTTGATTTTTAAAAAGCTGCAGATGATTTATGAGAAATGTGATCCCAGCTGTGTGTAGGAAAAGTAAGGCTCTGTCACAGTGGGATTTGTGGGTTTCAGCTGAAATATCCCTAAAACCTGTATTTTCATTGAAGAGGGCATAAAAATTAGAATTATTCTGATGTTACATGCAACTGTCACAGATAGAAATGTAATCTATGACATTCCCCTGGAGAATACCCCTGTATGGATTTGTTTTCCTTTGCTTCAAAAGAAAAGGTTACATTCAGAGCCTTACCTTCTTCACCCGCACTTGTCCTGGCTAAGGTTACAGTCCTAGCTGCAGTAGCTGAAATCACACCATGAAAAGGAAAGTCAAAGAAACAGTAACTGTTGGTGCTACTGTCCTGAGGTATAGTTTGTTAGCAGCAACTTTGACACCTGGAAAATCACAAAGCACAGGCCCGGTAAGGACCTTGTTTATGTTTCTTCCCTCCCCTCCCAGCAAAGCCAGGTCTGAGGACAGAGTTGCACCATTCTTACATTCTTAGTTTTAAAGTGTTAACTGCATCAGATTTTGTCCCCCCAAGGCTTCTTCACCTCTTACTTGCAAGACCAAATCTAAGAGGACACATGGATGTCAAAATGGTGGGGAATCAAAATCAGGCCTGATACCTGCAGGAAGCACAAACAGGGCAGAAGACTGGCCTGTTCCTGCTGCCTCTCTAGAATATGAGGACTAAATTGTGTGCCAATTCTCTGTTCTGTCACATCATGTCACATCACATCCCTGACAACCACTTCTAACTGTATAAAACTCCTGAATTAAGTTCCATTCCTATTTCTCCTCTTGGTATTCAAGTAAGATTTACCAGCAGTTTTGACATGCTGGTTTATACACAGTAAGCTGAAGATTAATTTGACTGTTAGCGTCTGAGAATTGCTATAGGTTTGGGTTTCTTAGCCAGAAACAGCAGCCATGGCCAGTTTTGCTGAAGGAAAGCCCACGGAGTATCCTCCGATTTAGTAGCAAAGAGAGGAAGTGTTCCCTTCAATGCAGAATGCTGAATTCGTGCTTTCTGAGCATCACCTTATCCTGATGTGGGCATATGTGGGACTAAATATGAGAATATAACACCAGCATAAATAAAAGGAAATGAAAGAACAATAGGGTCACCTCCTAAAGCTTTGTCATTTGCTGCATTTTTCCTTGTGAGCATGTTCCGTACTGCACAAAACAAATAATTATGTCTTGAAACCACATTCCACTCATGCCTTGATCCCATGCAGGCTGTTCCTAATCTTCCAAGGTTCTAGAACTGAACAGAGATGTCTACACAATTGTGTCTTATCTTTACAATGATATTGAAGAAGATAAGCTGGATCCTTAGCCAGTGGCACATGGAGTACTTCCGCTTCAGTGGGCAGTTACAGTGACTTAAAAAAATTGATCATCTGATCATACACAAACTGTGATCTCTTAACTGACTCCTTTTCCTACCAGGTAATGGTGTATTGTTGTTCCTCTGTGAAATTAAATGAGACACTGAAGCCCAGAGCCCTTCAGAAAATGGATTTTAAGTTTTTTTCTCTCAGTGACTCAGCACTTCACTCTGGTATGAAATAAATGGATACTGGAAGCTGGAGTTACTTTTTTTTGGTGGTTATTCTAGAAAAGGTTGGGTTGAATGTTGTGGATAGATTGCATGAGAGGGAACAATGACACAAAGATGGTTTATGATGGAAAAAACAGCGTGATATGAAAAAATACATAGCAACCCTCTGTTTACACAGCTATTAAAATGTTATAGGGATCAATAAAGACTAATGTAAAACATTTAGCATGGGAGGAAGCAACCAGGATAGGTTAATATCCTTAGTGAAGCTGCTGTAGAAAACAATGATGGACACAGAATCAGAGCTGGATGAGAAAATTTACTTCTAGTTGATGGTCAGCTGCAACAAAGGAAAAGGACAACAATTTGCTAGATCAGTTCAGCAGAGGACATGTGACAGAAAAGAAAGCATTTAACCAAAGCATCTGCTGGATCTCACCACCCAAACAGAACAATGCCATGCACTGTGATCTGTATGATCCAGATAACCAGGGCTACTTTTTATTAAGGTCATCAGTGACTACCTGATATGCAATGCATCACCTGTTATCCAGCTAGGCTTAATATCTGAGAACAGTTTAATTGCTTAAATATATCCGTGTAGACATATCCTTTATATTTGTGGTCTCTGTTTGAAACACAAGCTGTGATCCTGTGAAGGGCTTGCTCTGTATGTTACCTTTTTCTCCATACCATATATTTGTCCTGCCAACTTAAACTGAAAAAACAAAGAGATTGTCCAACTCCTTGTTTGTGCAGCACAGAATAAGGCTTTGATCCTGATCAGGGGCTCTGCACTCAATAATTACTAGTACATCCAATGACATCATAATAAAATATTGAAATATTAACTTTCTTAATTTTTCTTCAGACATGCATGGAACTTTTGTCATCCTGATGCCCCTCAGCCTGATATTGATGATTTTTGGAGGAATGACTGGATTCATCAGTATTCTCGCCAGGGCCTACCTGCTGCTTCTAATGACGGGACTACTTTTTCTTTTTGGAGGTACTATATCAAACTCCTGGCTTAACCGTTTTAAATAATAAGAGATTATATCTGGGAAACACCACTTTGTCTTCCAGGGGAAAAAAGCTAAGCAAGAGTTTGCTTTCAGAATAATGCTGGTGTTCATTCACTTGGTGTCTGCTCAGCTCCTGACAGGATTCTGGAATAGAAAGCTGCCACTTAGAGTCAGGAAAGGCAAATAATCACACACAACCATACATCCTGTGGAGTGAGACACACTTTGAACACAATGTGTTTGCTGTGCCCATTAACACGAAAGATTTAATACCTTCTCAGCACAGTGCTCAAATTCTTTACAGACAGGGTAATGGAGTAATGGAGAAGTGACTTTGGAATTAGTAAAAGCATAGGGTTTGATAGCCTTGCACAGATCTTACAACTATTAAGAAAACTGACATTTTTTCAAAGGCATTTGCATGTTCCTG